GTTCAATTATCGACTTCATAATATCAACGAAAGAAACTTGACATAAATTAGGAGATTTCATTATGCATCTTATCATCTCTTGAATGTTATTTTAATCATATGCGCGTTTCGAATAACAGTATTGTATTTACTTTTCTATGAATTGATTGCTTTTGTGCGCGTATAGAAGAATATCTGAACTCATTCTCTACTATGTTGTGTTGTCTTTGGTTGCACAAATATACGCCAAGGTATACTAATTAAATATAATGTTTGGTGTGTCTCTCTCTATGTAGTCCTGCTTTATTATTATTATTATTACCACTACTCTGGTGGTGTTGCTTCCAAAATTAGTCACTAACGCATCCTGTAGAACACGACGTGAAGTTGTAGTTGGTTTGAGCAATCAACATTCATTCAGTAATCTGTTGAGAAGTTCACCACGAACTTCACTCAGGCCAACTGACATTGGTGTTAGTTCTCAATCACGGTATATATAATGCGATGATCTCAGCACTCGACTAGCGCTTAATGGTGGGTACACATAACAAGTGCTGTTTATAGCTCAGTAGTAGTGTCCGTACATGATTGATGGATCGTTTGATACTTTTATTCTTTCCATTATCTTTAAAGAACTGTTGATTTTTTGTAGTTGATGCTATAATGGTGATGGTTAATAAATCATTTCTCATAGACACTACTTGTACCACGGAAATATGAGTATCGCAGTTAGAGTATTCTCTGAGGTGAGATTATCGGTGTCAAACATTTGACGGATACACTAGTGATTCTTTTGACTAGACCATCTTTCAACTGCATTCAAAGGGTAATATTTCGCAACGATTTACAAATATCTGTATTCATCACCATAATAAGTTGTTTCTACTCGAATTACGCACCAATATCAACATGAAACCTGGGATTTGGACTTAACAGTCCAATTTCCCACGTCTTGTATCAAGATCAAGGGACAGAGAGGAAAGACAAAGAAAAGTGCAGTGAAAAGTCGTCAAGGCAGAACAAGGGAAGTAGGAAAACAGGTAAAATCAAATTCATAGGATGTGATTCGAAGAGAGAAAGGCGGGATGAAGCAATAACCCATGTATATATGTAAGCTTTAGCGCTCAGCGCTAACTGAGTCTTATCGATGAGATTTATAGTATGGTCATCAAACTAAGTAACATGTCACTGCAATGCATTGTATTTGCGTGTTAGACTAACAACTATTTTTACGAATATTCATCAAAGCTGGTGCAAAGAAAAAGTACTTCGCTTTTTCGAACTTGGCAAGTTTTTAAATGCACATGGCTAAACGTTTATTTTGTCTTCTAATTTTCTGTATTCCGTGTTGTCATTGTTATATATATTTTTTACCAACAAAGCCAATACCTAAGTCATATACATTTCTAATATCGGTATTGCTTTTATAAGCAGTTATTCACAAATGAGATTGTCTGCTTGGTTTCTGTTTACGATGTCGCTTCCTGTGTTAAGGTGTCATTGATTCACTTCAAATTCACTCCATGTAATCGGCACCTGAACAATTGGATAGTATCATAAACCTTCACACAATATATATGGCGCATATCCTAGTACATAAACATGTATCGTGTTGTTGTAGCATTGTGTGGCTAGTTAGTATACAATTATGCGGATCATAGTTCTTTACACGGGTTCACCTTAACATCACTGGAGTATGTTTCGATGTTCTTGAACAGCTGACTGGTTAGGTCAAAATGTGCCTGTTGATTATCAGTGCATATACATTGTAAGTTTTCAGTCGATTCATATCATTTATGTGCACATACTGTACTGTCTAAAATATATCTCAAAATCCCCTACTGTTTCAGTCCCATGATGTCTTTGGTAGTGATTTTCAGTGTTTCACTGCACTGCTGAGCTGTCCAATGGCTCTTAGCCTTGTGTAAATCCGTGATGAATGATGCCTGGGCACCAATCACTCCTCACAAACCTTCCAAATTAATTAAAACAAGCCAGTTTCGGTCAATGCATCTATATGTTTAATAGTCAGTGGCAATGTACTATACTTCTAAAAGCACTGACTGAAAATATTTCATATTCATCTATGGTCTCTGTTCAAACCAGGCTGACTTACATCTATAAAATTGGGCTCTCTAAGCTTAATTTGTGTAAGTTCACTGTTAATGGCTTCAGTACTAAACTGGGAATGAAGCCATTCACTGATAAGGTCGTAAACCATCATCACCTTAGATGGCTAGGACATATGTTAAGCATATCTCATCACTGTCTGTCTCATTGCGTAATGCTGACTCAAGTGGTTTCAGGCTGAACAAAAAATTCTAGACTGCCAAACCTAAACATACCATCAGCCTATGAGATTCTTGACAGTTGGTCTAAGGCGTGTAAGTGAAAGGTAATTATCTTCACTGTAATATCCTTTTGTTTTTCTATGGATTCATGAAATTGTTTCGTTATTTAACTATAGATTTGCCCTTTGGAGTCTTTGTGAACACTAAAATCGGCGGTTATAGGGTTTATACGATATGGTTCAGAATCAATCTCCATGGCTCGCATTGATCCACACAGTATCTCTGTCTTAATCACCATACAGAATTTTATAGTTGTTTCATTTCTTCTGTTTACTTTTTACGACCTTTTTCCTCATTTGTTATTATTATTTCCATGGTTTTATCTTGGTGCCTCCCTTGATGTGCGGTGTAACAGCTTAGACCGTTACGCAGTAATAATACAAGATTGTCCTGTGTAAATATCAACTGATTGACCAGACTTCACTTATTCGACAGTAGAAATCTTCCGGTGGGAGTGAGTGGTCTCTCTGTTTGTCAGGTTATACTTTTTGTTATAGAGAACGTAACCCGTTAAAATAGGTGTTTTCCAAAGAAGACTTACTTGATGCTGTAGTCATATGGTTGAAAAAAAGTTGGTGACTAATGTCGACATGGATTTCACGTTTTAGTGGTTCACATATTGTTTATCCTAATAATAGCATAACAACTAATGCTTGAAAAAATTGTTGTTAATTCTTCATTTTAAAGTTGTTTCAATTTAGAGTAAATGAATACCTTTGCCTTCATATGTTTTTTTTAATTTGTTCTAGACACCCATTTACACTGTATACCTACATCTTTTCGTATTACTGTTTGTAAATGCATCTATAATACAGTAGTCTGTAATAGTTGCTAATCCGCTATAGAATACGTCTGCGCATAGAAAAATAAGTGAACACTACCACCTAGTACATACACACCCGTGCTTGTTTGCTGATTTATGTTTACTTGTTTTATGGATGCTCACGAATTCATGCTGAAGGTGAAGTAAGTAACTGCTCACTTCTATTACGTGTGGTTAAAATGGTGAATTATTTAAACACTTAACAACAATGTTCCGAATGCTGCCTTTCTACTACGGATTAAAACTGTAACAAATTATTGAACGGGGGTGATGATTACAAGTGAAGTGAAATCAAAACTTGGTTAACATCTGTTTCATAGCTTAGCTGATATAGCGCCGGGGTGATGACCCTGGTAACTGCTGATTTCAATCCTACTGTGACCCAGGTTTTCATTTCACCAACAATCATCACCTTCATACATAAATACCAGTTTTACAACTCATTATTTCTTTCAAAGCATTCAGGTTTACTAACGTAAATTTAACTTAATTTTAACGCATTTCGTTCTGATTGTAATATTTTTAGTCGTTAGCCTACTTATCTGATTATATGCTTGTCTACCTGTATGCTTAGCTGTGTGTGTATCTCATTTTATTCGGTGGTGTAATGTGCCAATCTCAATATCTCACCTAGCTGTCATTACTGTTTTCACATCAACTTTAATTTCTGTCTCCAACGTTGTTAGCTAAATGTCACTAGATTGCAACAATATCACTGTAGTGGAGCTGTGACTCATTGTTTGATGCAGTCTTTTTTCAACTAGTGGGTCACAAGTTTGAACTCTGCTCCGAATGCCGAGGTTTGGGCAGCCAGGTACTATCATTAGCCCTTACAAAATAAGTGTAGCTCATTGCCTACTGCACGAATATGCACATGGTTGCCGATTGAATCTCGATTCGTTTCCCACTGTAGCCTTGGTGATATAATAACAGACCGACCAACTAAGACCTGTATGATACCAAGTTAGTGATCAGGATCAAAGTGCTTATATTGTTTTGTATAGGTAAACACTGCATTTTCTGTAGATCAACTGAATGTTTCAGTTTCTGACTTTCGTATCTAGACCGTTAACAAAATGTAGAATCTATCAAGTATTAGGAAATTTCTTTTCACACAGCATTGAGAAAGTTTTGCTTTACTAGAACATTTTTTAAGTGAACGACATTACAAACGTAGTGTAGTTTGCTCCCCAGTTAAATATATCTAAAACATGGGCTTATTTAAAAATAGATATCTACACCTCAAATGTCGAAGCGATTCTCTTGTGTTTCTTCTATGATTGTGCTGATCGTGGATAATTTTCATCAGTGTACATTATTGTGGTAGAGGTGTAGATGTTCTAGGGAATATAGAAAAGCCAATACTTGCATTGTACATCTTAATTATTAACTCATACAACAGAACTCCTTGGTCAAAAGCGTCTCATGACTATTACAAACAAATATGACTTAAATAAAAGTCAGGCTTTTTATCGCATGATTTTGTAATTTGAACATGTTCAGCAGTGATTTCGATATCATTTTACTAAATCTAATAACCCGATGTAAATGCAATTTTCTCAATATGAATATAAAACCAGTATTCGTATTTTGTGTGCAATTGTTTCATGTTATATGAAGCTTGAATGACCATGACTCTAACGTTATACAAAAAACGTATTTTTTTTTACATTAGTATAAATTTTATAACATGTACATCCTGCTCAAGAAACGTTTAGCCTTCTTCATTTATTTAACAGATATCCCTTATTTCATATTTTCCCATTGTTCTTGAATTAACAACACTATACAGTGTCATTGAAATTATAAATTTCCTGAATAATTGTAATTCTTATTCCGTCTCGTAGGTGCAAAAGATTCTGAAGTACAAACAGATATTAGTTATTTGCGTGATTCAGTAATCCCTCTGCCTGCTAGATTGTGCGCTAAAAAATTGGTAAATAATGTATTACAGACAATCGAAGTAAGTTCCAAAGTCAATACCACATTGTTTTGTTTTCGTTATGATATTTCTTGTTTGCCTTGCGATCGCTAGATACCTTAAATCTATTGATTTTGTAGTATACTGTTGTGTATACCATTTAATAGTACTTCTGTCAATATTAATCAGGTTTTGAATTGAACTAAAGGATAATTAAGGAATAATTATGTTACCTTTGATTTTTATCCACTCACTGCAAATTTAACTGTTTTGAGATTTACTATGCTTTTTTAATCTTTTGGCAGAAAGTAGAATTGAATTTATCTATATTGTATAGAATCTATAACGAAAATCCGCCTCCAATACCAGCTGATCGCCTTCACTTACTCTCACGTCCTTCTGACTCTTAACAATACAATTTGAAGTCTACACAGAGTTTCTGTTGCAAATTAGGCGAATGGATCTGTTGAATTGTAGGTTGTTTATACACATTTGTTTAATCGAATAATTAAATTTTTATGTTGATTTTTCTTCATTTACGCTGTAGGTCATCAGTTTAGACACCTGATTCCCAGCCAATGGGTCACAGGTTCGAACCCCGGCTCACTTACTGAGGTGTGGACATCCAGTTAATATTATTATCCCTCACACAATAGATGTGACTCATTGCCTGTTGCATGAATGCGTATTTGGTTGCTGAATGGATTTCGAAATTACATGTAAATCTTCAAGGAAGTTGTTTCATATTGGAGATAATGACTAAAATGTCATTCAAAGCTCTGTCCTAATTAATTTACCATTTTTGCCCGGAAACCCACCTGAGCTAAAGATATTACTTCTAAGAAATCTGTGTAACGTGTCTGACAATGTGTCTAGTCTATCCTACTTTGAAATACTTACTATGTATCCTTTTGCATCTAGATAGTCAGCATTCTCAGGTAATAACCTGTTTTAAATGGGACTAACGCCTTATGCACTATCATAGACATTTGTGGTAAGCATCACCCCGAACGGGTTGGTTGCTGATGAAATCTCAACTCGGGTACAGAAGGCTTGTTTGGTATTTGTCAACTTACGTCACCTGTGGCACCGGCATCCGACTATCTATCAAAGGACGAATATACTGAGCTGCAGTTTGTTCTGTCCTTTCGTATGGCTGTGAGACGTGCCCGTTAAAAGTAGAAGACATGAAGTGGCTACAGGTGTTTGAACATAGATGTCTTCGTACCATTGCTCGCTCTTGGTGGAATCACCGTGTGAGGAACGTTGAGACCAGGCGAAGAGCACTAAGCAAGAAAGGCGATTCGACTGGTTAGGTTGTAAACGTAGTCGACTGCGCGTCCCAAGCCACCGCCTACGTCTACATGCCATACTAGGGCAATTTGCATTGGGCTGGGAGTGTTCAGCGTAGCCAGACGAGGACCTGGTACCAGTTAATGAATTCTCTTACTGTTGGTCTAAGTCGCGTAGGGGAGATGTAGACTGCCTGGCCAAGAAGGGTCCTGGAGATGAGAGGAATCAGTGGTTGAAGACTCTTGGTGAAATGACTGAAAGTCGGTCACTATGGCGCAGACGTATTCACTCTGTGACATCTTCGAAAGCTTCAATGTTTGTTTTAGCCGTTATCTTCAAATTGTTTATTCTCTCACACAACTTTGTCCACTCTGGTATCAGTCTTTTTCTATCCACCTGTTCTTTGTATACTACTATGAAGTGTGGAAACTTGAACCGATGCACCTGTGTGTGAGGTTCTACGTTGATTTAGTTAGTGTCAGTCATTGTATGTATGCGCATATATTATTCATCTTACATTATATAAAATGAAATGCAATCCGGGAACAATTAGCTGGTTTGCTCACTAGACTGTAAGTCGTATACGTGATGATGATGCAAACCACTGAACCGGCAGTTTTAACATAATCATTGCTTAAAAAACAAACATTCCTTATTAATTTTGACCATTTTTCTTACTAGCAGTAATGATCTATAAAAGTATGATATTTAGTTAAGGTCTAGACCTTTTCGTATTTTATAGTGGCTCTTTTCTTCTTATGACTTCTTCAACCCGTGATTCAGGTCATTTTAAAAATGTGCATTGTAAATGTGTTATTTCACAATGAGGTTAATTATTTCTGCGGATATATATATATATATATATATATATATATATATATATATATGCATACAAGAGGCCCTGGTGACAAAAAACAGTATTTATATCCAACTTCTACTCAGAAAATGAAGCCACTAGATCACCTATTAACTGAAGGACAAGATTGTTCAGTAAAATTAGCTTGACCAATCAAGATCTGAGGCAAAAATATTTCTGTCCCAACGGCGAATAACCTTGAATAATGGTTTCAATTTTTTTGCTTCATAACAATGAATTAATTCCACTTTTCTTCCTTGCTTTGTCCATGTACGTATTCATAAAGCTGTTGATATACTCTTTTTAAATCAGTGGGTTATGAATATTTCTTCACTTGTGTTAAACCACCAGAAAGTATTCTTTTCACTGTATTGGTAGGACAGTTAACCAGATTTATTTTGTGCTGGTAGATGTGTGACTATGTACTGGTGACCTGTAGATGTGGCCTGTTTGTACACGCATCTGCTGAGTGAAACATCTCTGTTACTTTGCAAAAGATCCAGAAGTATACTTCACTCGCATTGAATTTTTTTACAAGCGAAAGTAATTGAGGGGTGTGCCCCATTAAATTTTCTTATCAGTTCCTTTGTACCATCGTTCTGATCAAGAATAATGTAAATGTCGTCGGTATAACAGTGAAGCACATCTCAGTGACATCTTTCATATATCCTTTCTCTAATATGACGTGAGATACGTCATTTGAAATTGAAGCATAGCGGTTTCATCAACGCGCTCATAATGTGTGTGATAGGATATAAAATATACATTCATAGTAAATTTAAAAAGTAACTCTTTGAGGGATGGGCACTAGAATCCTCATATTGTTTTGCCTGTCTGATATTTGTTTGTACTCAAACACTAATGCTTCCAGTAATAGCACACTGGCAAGTAATGATACGATATCAATCGATATCGTACATTCCCGTGTATATTCATATTATGTATCTTAGAAATGAATTAAAAAGCCTTTTTCATATTTTTGTTTACTTCTTACTAATGTAACGTATCTGAAATGCATACTAACTACTACAGCTCAGTGGTATGATGAGCTAGATATTTCTAAGACTAGAGGAAGAGAAAGTTCAGGTTTGTGTACCTTGGGTACACCACACAACCGCTGTGTTACGTACTCTCTGTTAGCTTGAGTGAATTGTACGTAGCCTCAGAAACTGCCCCACTTCGTTTCACTTTCTTTAGGTATTTGCTATCTGTTCCTCTGCCTTTCCATTTAAGTTTGACGAGTCGCTAGTTTTTGAACCTCGTTTGATCATCTAAAAGAGCAATCATTTCGTGTAGATAATCGCTTGCATACAACAATACCATATCTCCTTGGTCTGATTTACTTATTATGTTTTCGTCTTTACTTATTTTGTTCGAGGTTTCTTGATGTTTCATCAGTAGATGTTTTGTACTGCTGACAACTATCAGCCAATGTAGTTTTAAACCCGGTCAGTTAGTTGTCAGAAAGCGGAAGCGATTTTTTGTTTGTGAGAAGAATTTTGAAACTACATTCGTATATGTTTGACTAATCTTGTTCCTATAATCATAAAATTTAGGACACAGAGACAATACCTCTAACTGAATCTTGCCTAGTTCAATGCTGGAATAGATGTGTACATTCCTTTACTAATTTGACAGATAATTCCTGTCTGGCTTTTAACTTTTTGAGATTTCGTCAGTTTTTGTCATCTCTTCTCTGCCCCATTCAGTTTAGTTTTTTCAATTTACTCATGAAACATTAATTCTTGTAGCGCATTATCAGCGACAAATAGTCTTAATGGCGAATTTCTCTCCATCTTTGAGATGTTTAGAATCTAATTGGTTGAGTGTGTGTTGTTTCAGTGTTTTGGAACTAGGATAAATCTTGTTACGAAGGAAAGATTTTGGATAATTTAAGATGTCGTTCATTTTGTATATATTCGTTGATAAATTTTACCGACGTTTTCGCTTCGTTAAGTCTAGCATTATACTTCAAGAACTGATTAATGAATGAGATAGAATTTACTTGTGACTTAAGAATGTTCAAATTTCCCATCACAAAAGTGTATATTCATAGTTTAAGAATGCAGTCATCACTTAAAGATAACCTACTCTTTATAGCAGTTAACAGAACAACTCTCAAGCGGTAGATGTAGCTCATCGTCTAATACAGGTGATTAAATTTTACCACTGTCATTTCGTGTTATCTATCTACTCAGTTGGTGGCATTTCCTTACATTTATTTCTTTTTCTGAATATCTCAACACATAGTTCTTCCGTAGTGGGATGCAGATTTCTTTGGTTTTTGAGTTGTATATGAACATTGGTATCCTCTTAAAATCTGGTTCTGTTGCCATAAATATTATTCTTTATAGCCTCTGTAGTAGATTTTGACTTCGCTGCGTTGGTGTATATTTTAAACTACCGTGTAAAGTCGTCATTTCTTAAATAATCAATTTGACTTATAGTCTGCTGCGTGAATTTTTGGCGTATCGGTAGGAAGTTACCACATCTTTTTTGACTGAAGAAACAATTCACTATAAGTTATTGTATTATTTGAAGCTAGAAAGGCAGTAGAATTTACGAATTGTATAACGATATCTGACTAATATAAAGGTTTCGTTTTTTGATGAAAGGAGTATGAATTTGAAGTCAGAAGTGATTATTAATTCTGTCAGTTTGTATTTACCTAGTACCAGTATTGATGAAAAACAATACTCTGAACCTAATAATTACTGCGATGATAATTGTATATTCAATGGATTGGACTTTGATTCTGCACTTTTTAATGCTATATAATTATATGCAATTGTAACAATTATCTTTCTGAAGGCATTGTATGTTCGTGATAATATACGTCAAATACAAATCATTTGTTGAGATTCTGGTTTCTGTTGTCTTGTTCAGTTGCATTTTCTGTAAGCAAACAGAAACCAACTAGTAGTATTAATTGCACCACATCCATTAGTTTTCCTTTCGGTAGTTGTTACCATAACGTGGTGTTTCAACTAGCTTATCACAACGACTCAGCGAATTAGGAAAATTGGTTCCTTGAGGCCTTTCCATGCTAGACAGGTTAGTTGGAAATTGGTAGCACAAAAGGCAGTTACCATTTTGGCGTTAATAGGTAAGGGATGAGTATTTGGTCCACATTTTGCATGGAAAATTCCCAACCAATCAGCTGTCTTTCTTTCCTTGTTAACTGTAATGCTTCATGATTCCAGAATAGTTGTGCAGACAATTGGTTTTAGGACACTGGTTTACATGTTCAAAGTACTCATGATAATCAATCCTTGATGTATTGATTTATATCGGCAAATTGTATTTTACTATTCCGATTACTTTTTTTAATTGTTCACGCTTAACCATACCAATGAAAAGAATATTGATTTTGTCTATAATGTGATATTTCGACTGTTAATTTGTTTTTGTTTTTTAGATGCCATTCAATTGTCAATCCATCATCTTGTGAAAATCCCGTATGTATGGTGCTTTGATTGTACGTTATAATCAGCAGCAAAACCCGATACATATACTTATATTTGTGTACTCCACTGTTTGGCCATATATCATGTAAGGGATTTTATTCCCTTTATTTTGATAAAAGTGTATTTCCTCGGTTTTTTTTTGAGAGTTTTTAACAAAAATAAATTCTTTTCTATCTATTTGATGCGTTTATTACAAAATTATACTCTATTAACTGACTACTACGAATCAGGCAAGCATGTAAAAATTGCATATTACTTTTTGAATAAGGGTTCTCACTTTCTTCACTCCCATTCTCTAATTCCTCTGTTGTTTTTTTATTTATTTCTACTCTATCCATGCAGTGCTTCCTGTGAAGTGAATTGTATTAATGCATCATACTGAAGTCCTTCTTTCATGTCTGATATTTTCATAAAACGTTCTGGTTCATTATACAAGGCATTTAACTGTATATCTTTGTATGTATGTGCGCGCATGTGATTTTGTCACTGATTCAAAATGTTAGTCACTATATGTAACCATAAAGGTAAACTGAAAAGCGTTAATTGGATTAGTGTCTACATCCAACCCTGATGGTTGTCAATAAAAAACCTGAATCACATTCATTTTCAAGTGTATTTAACGTGTCATAACATCATCACTCATTTTATTGTTTTCACATCTTGTTTTGATGAGTGTATGATAGGTAATGGTGTCATGGAAAAGAGAATTCTCTTATCAAGCGAATCAATCAATATCAACATAGGACCAGGCATTACTGAGTACCGGTCCGAGTTGCCACAGCTCAGTACAGTACATCAAGTAGAAAGGTAGTGAGGTGAAGGATGAAGATAAGAGAATGCAGTCAAAAGAGATATAAAGTACGAGAAGAAAGAAAGGAGGAATGAGAGTGGTGAAATTCGGTATAGCGTCGTTAAGATGACGATAATGTGTGTATACATCTGCACCACTTACATGGGTTCTGAGCCATATCACCTTGAGTTTTCAACCACTGGTTCCTCTTGTTCCGTGGACCCCAACCACCTAAGCTGCATCATCCCACATGGCTCAAACCAACAGTCAGAGACTTCATGCATTGGTGCCATGTTTTAGTCTGACCACATCGAGCCTTTTTCCAGCCTTGACCTACTTCGGCCAACATTGTGTGACGAGGTAATCTGTGACTAGGCATACGTAGTACGTGTCCCAACCATCTCAGTCAACGAAGGTTCACAACCTCGTCAACCGACTTACCTCTTCTCCCTAAAACTCTACATCTGGCTTCTGAGTTACTCACGTGGTGACACCACGGAATACAGTCTATACTACGAAGGCAACGGTGGTCAAATACTTTAAGCCTTCTCATGTATTCCACCTTCAATAGCCATGTTTCACAGACATAGAGTAGAACAGACCGGACTGCTGTGCAGTACACGCAACCCTTAATAGACAATCGGACATCACGCCAGCGCCACAGGTGGTGTAAGTTGTCAAAAGCCAGCCGAGCCTTTTGTATCCGTGAAGAGATTTCATCGGCCACTGAGCCACTAGGTCTGATCCTACTTCCCAGGTGAGTGAAGTGGTTGACACACTCAACCACTACACTCTCTATTGTTAGCCGTGGCACCGTTGAAGACCAATCCCGGAGCAACAATTTGCATTTGGGTGGTCAGAAACTCATCCCAAACACTCTCAAATTGCCACTCAGTATTCAGAAGACTTTGCATCGTGTCAGCGTTTTCACTTAACAGGACTATGTCACCTGCATATTCTAGGTCTAATGGAAATTCTCCTGTGATTGGGTCAACGTCTGTGTAGTCGTATGACGAGAGGGAGACCTCTGTAAGAATATCTGTGATGAAATTGAATAAGAATGGAGAGAGTGAGCATCCTTGACGGACATCACTCGATGAGCATAGCTTTCTGGACATCTCACCATAGTCTGTAACATACCCACAAGTGTTTGAGTAGAGAGCCTTCAATCAGGTGATGTACTTACTGGGCACGCCTCTCGGTGAGGTACATTGCCATAAGATTTCTCGATCAAGGGAGTCGAATAACGCCTTCAAGTGTAGAAATACAGCTATTATCGGGCGTCTATAAGCGTGCCTATATTCCAGGATCTGGCGCAGTGTGAATAGTTGACTGGGTCTAAAAACCTGCCTGCCTTGTTTTCTCGGGCCATAAACTGTACCTTTTTAGGACATAGTGAAAGAGATTTTAGTCAGAATCTTCCCTGAATAATGTATTAGTATGTGAAAATTTATAGCCGAATATTCACCATTTGCGCTTAACTACATTTCTCATCGAAATGCTAACAAGGAACGGTTTAGTGACTCAGTAAATTATAATGTGATATATACAAGTCTATCCGATAGAGCCTGTGAAAATACCTATGATTTCATGAACGAGACTATGTGAACTCGCAGGGTTTTTCTTAACTCTACAACTTCAGTGCATTAGTTTGTCATGTTTGTCGTCACCTTACCAGTAAAATGACTTCCAAATTTAGTAGTTCTACCTTTTTAAAGTGATTGTACCTTCCGCTTTGAGCATAGATTTGCTTATTATTATTTTTTCCTTGGGTTTCCTAGCGGGGTATAGGGCTTCAGTAGCACACCTCCACTGCACTCTGTTCTATCCAGTCTTTTGGACCTGGCACCACGACTGCCCACAAGCTTTCATTTCTTCCTCACATGATCTCCATGTCACCCTCAGCTGGGACACTCAACTCGTTATTTCCTCTTTAGGTTCCACTCGAGGGCCTGGTGCGTGATGTCTCCAGCCGACCTTCTCAGTGTATGCCCAGTCCATCTCCACTTTCTTCTGCATATTTGTTAGGGGATGGGTTCTTGGTTGGTTGGTTCGTTGCCCGGCCAGACTTCCTTGTTGCTTATTCTTCCTGGCCATCTGATCGATGTTCAGTATCAAGTGAGCGTGGTGGTTCTGTGTCTTGGCTGCTGGTGGTATTTCCGGATGAGTTGCGGATGGTGGTCGATTCAAGAGTTTTTTTGAAGTAGTCAGCCCATTGTTTCCTTTATTTCCTCTTTGGTGCTAACTAGGTTTCCTTCACTATCTTCCATGAGTTTCGTCTGCGTTGATCTCTTCCCTCCCAGGTAGTAACCTGGTTATTTGCTATAATGTTGTCAGGACTCTGTCTCTCCTACCAGCAGCCTGTTCTGCTTCACTTGCCAATGTGTCGTAGAAGTGTCTTTTGTCTTTGCGTGCACTCCTCTTTACTTCATTGTCCAATGTAGTGTTTTATAGGTTGTGTTCAGTTCCTCATTTCCTCATTCATCATGGCAGCGCACTTCACTAGTTCATCTTCTGCCTCACCATCTTCCTCTTCCTGCTCTATCGGCTTCCATGTGTCCATCGAGATCCATTCCTCGTCTTCTTTTCTCTTCCTTCCAAATGCGGTTATTCAGGTTTCTTCCCACATAGCTTTCAAGGGATTCCAGTATTCTTCCACGCCCGATCCTTCAGGGATATTGCTCATTGTCTCCTATTTCGTCTTGATGACTGACTTGAAGATTTCCTTTGTAGTTTTGTCCTTCAGTTTCTGAGTGTTGAACTTGAACTGTGGTCCACCACCAACTTCTGTGATATGCTTCAACTTGATTTTGAAGGTAGGTTGCTTGCAGTAGATAGTGGTGTGAACCATCTACATTTGCTTCCCTTCTTGATCTAATCTTGTGTCGAGTGGGCTACGTCTCCACTTTCTTTAGATTGAGATGAAGTCGATCTGATTTTTAGTGTGTCCATCTGGTGCAGTTCGTGTCGCTTTGTGAATATCCTTGTGTTTGTACACATTACCTCCAATCACCAAATCGTTGAATGCGCAGAAATCTGCAAACAATTCTCCATTCTCGTTCATTTCACTGAGTGCTTCTCGACCCATGATGAGTTCCTTTCCTGTGTTGTCTGTTCCAAGTTTAACATTCATGTCGCCCATTAGAATTTTGATGTCACCAACTGGAGTCTTGTCTAGTAGTGATTCCTTTTGTCCATAGGATTTTGGTTTACTTGGTCTTAGTATATTACCAAAACGATATGGTCATTTTATATTTTAATGCACTTGTAAATAAGAGAATGATGGATATGTTTTTCAGTTGAAGATTAAAGTTGCACTATTATTGTTGTTTCACTCAAATTGCATATAATATCATGTGATATGTGGTGTTATCGGAATGCTCAGTGCGTATGTATGAGTGGTGTAAACGGTGTGTATATAGTAGCTTGAAAGTGAAGAATATATTGGAAGCAATGAAACAATCAGCTATTTATTAAAACTAACTGTTTTTTCCCGAGAAAGATTGTGGTATTGCAGTCATGATTATAGACCTATTCATTCATCAGTTATTGACGAAATATTCGCATTTGTTAGTGAAAAAAAGTTTTCAGCGAAGAAATATTTCTTTTCTAGACCTCCCTTGTCCAGGTGTACAGTCATTTTTACAATTGGTTAGAAATCAATCAGTTGTTCAGTCAGCATGTACACAATGAAAGTGGTGGCGACGTCTTGTTCAAGTGGGTAAAAAAGAATTCATTGATAACGGATGATCTCAATGAGCAAACATGGATCGAGTGATATCAAAACGTTTGCAATGATACGGATGTGAACTATTCTGTCTAAGTTACTTTATAATGAACTAGCTTTCCAACGAACTGTTATCTTTCTTCTTCAGTTTGTTAAATATGAAATATGAATATCCCTTATCATTGAATTACTTATAAACAGGTGACACCATAAGCCAGCCAAAACGTTTTCACCACGAGTACGAAAAGTATCATTCGCGTATCTTCTCCGCAGATGCGTTTGTTCCATGTTCCATTTTTGAGACTTGGCATGGAAGTGTGAGGTAAGGTGAGGCGTAGTAGGGATAGCATAGAAACTGTGTTTCATTACAAATCACAACGATAAACCTGAACCGTGCATTGAAAATACACCTTTATATCAGCTTGAAGTACTTCTGCAGTCCTATGTTAAGATCAATGTTTATTGGCACTCAGTTTTCGCTCTTATGCCAGATTGTTCATTCGCTTCCTCTGGCACGTTGATCTTTTCTTAATTTCTTTAGGTTCTGGTCTAGATGATAATTTTGTTCAATTTGAATTAACGCTGGTAACACTTCCTATTGTTGTTATTGGGCTACCCATATCACCCTGCTATCGATTTTCGAAATGCAATCACTGGGTTAGCCTTGATAACTGTGTCAATCATTATATTTTATTTCAACAGAAAGCTTTATCAGAACTAAGTGAGAAGCAATTGATTGTCATTTGAAGGTACTTCTCTTTATACTAGGTGATGATTAGAGGTGAAATGAAAATTTGGACCGCGGCCGGACTGGAACCAGCGACCATCGGCTCACTGACCGATGCTCTCAAATGTTCACTTCCAATCAGCACCCAGTATAAATACTAGTCTTCCAAACTACGGCTATCTCAGACAGTCAAATGGCACTTCTGTTTATCGGTCAAGCGAGGATTTTTGCTGTTGGCATAATAATAATAAGTTTATTCCAGACGGTATGTTAGATACAGTATGGAATTCTCAGCATATAATATTTCAATAAATTTTCTCTCTGCACGGTATTTTTTGATGATTGCACCATCTCGGAAATCTCAATAATAACAGTAATAATAGGGAGTGTTATGTAATGACCATCTACTGTTACTTGTCTATTCTTAAGAAAGGAAATGAATTGAAAAGCATGAGGAAGTTTTGGTGGTACAGAAATTTGCAGTTCTAGCTAGCTGTGTTTGAGGAATAGTTATATGATATACTGTTGTGCGCTTGAAACCTCATTGCCATCTACCACTACGTCTCTTCTTCATTTTATTGTTAACTTGTAAAATGGCTGGTTAAAAAAATGTTAGAAATGCTCGAGAGGACGTAGTACGACTTGAAGATATTTGATTGATTTTTAAAAATTAAGAGGGAGCGGTTTCATGTAGTACATTCAGCGAAAAATGTTTGTTAGCGCAAAGTTCAGACAAGTCACGCAATATCACAAATAGAAAGAATTTGGAAGATGTAAACCACTGAATTTCAACCCAGCGGTTGAGTGGTAACATGCTAATTGGATGATCTTGACTTCGATCCATTCACGTCATCTGTGTACACTGCTGAGGGTTGCTAAACTAGGACGGAGCAGCTGTTCAGTGTATCGAGATTTTCAATGGTCCTGTGGCTGGTTTTGTCAACTGATGAAAGCATCCTGAAACTAATTAATTCTCTACGGAACTGCGAATTGAATTTTTATGCTGAATGGTGCAGTTGTTCCTTAGAATTTTAGTGTATTACCTCCTTATTTATTACTTTTTATTTAACTGTTTATTGGTTGTATCTTCATTAGTTATACATTCGAGTATACTTAGCTACCTTACTTATATGCGATAATGAATTATCATATTATATTCATGCAGATGAAATTTAAAATATCTTTTGAAATTGTACTACTGAACAGTCGGAGTGGTTAGGAAACACACATACTGACCCGTAAATTTTGTCAATTGAGTCGCCGTCTAACTTATTGAAGTCGAGCTGGTCACTGATGCCTCAACACAAATTCAACCTTATTGTTTAGTCTTATTGTTCATATCAACTGAATCTGACTAACTAACTGATGTGAACAACAATAAGAGATAATTCAGCGGAGTTTTTATTCGACGATGTCGTTTTCTAAAGCCGTGCAATTGTATTTATATATATCACAAACGTATAAGTATATTATTTAACGACAGAGTGTAGTTACATCATTAAGCTAGTGGTAAAAACGGAAATCAGGAATGAATAGTTGTTGCATAATAGTCTTTTAGACAACAGAAATGACGAGAGAAGCAGGAAATTTGACAAGGGGAAAATTGTTGGTAGATATAAGATGTGAAGACAGATATGAAGGAGGTGAAGAAAGAAACAAGGGATAAAATGAACGCGTTAGTAGTAGATTAACTGGTTATAATGAAATCGAGAAAATTGTTAAAGACGTGCTGCTGCTCCGTCATCACCAACAGGTATTGGTTGCCATTTGATATCTGCAAAATGGTCCCATTACGTCCACAGGTCACCAACTGCCGTTACTGGAATCGACTGGAGCGGCGGTCGATCACCTTTCATCAGTTGACAATGAGGACAACCCAGCATGTGTTCGGCAACATCTCTCATACCTGGCCAGTACGCACTTTGTCTGAGAAGGTCAGCTGTCCATGAGACACCTGTATGAGCTAACTGGTGGGATTTTTGTGTCATTTTGTCGCGTAGACATTTCGAAATCACTGCCAACCAGCTTCCGTCATTTTCTTGCCACATCAGCATTCCATAAGTATTCATCCGTAGGCGTTTTTTCTGCATCAACGACGTTCTCAACTCTTTATCTCCCACAGACGTTTGTGTCTCTGTCCCTTCAGTTATGGCTTTGATCACTTCTTTTAGTGTCGGGTCCGACTTCTGAAGGAAAATAAGTTTTAACGGGTTCCATTCCACTGCATGTATGACGTATGTGATTTCAGGTAGCTAATTTTCTTCTTCTGATCTTGGTAAGAAGTCTGCCAACCAGTTTCCTTTCCCTGCCACATGGCCGATGGTGAAGTCATATTCTTGCAGTCGTAACACCCAACGTGATAATTTTCCTCTGGGGTCTCTCGCTGTCATAAGCCACTGTAGGGGTTTATGATGCATTTCAGTATGGAATCGTTGACCGAGGAGGTTCGATCTCCACTTCTCCAGCACTCAAACTATCGCCAGACATTCCTTTTCCATTGTAGAATATTTCTGTTCTGCGGGTGTCAGAACACGGCTGGCATACTCTACTACTCCTTCAGTCTGTCTCAGGACTGCGCCTATTCCATAATCACTTGCATCCGTGGACACGACGAATGGCCTCCCAGGTATTGGTAGTTGCAACAACATCTCCTGGTCATTTAGGAGTTCTTTGATGTGATCAAACGTTTTTTGTGCCTCCTCCGTCAATACAAATCTGGGGTTGCCAAGTAGCTTATATAAAGGTTCTGCTATCTCATTGAAATTTTTGAGGAACCGACTGTAGAATGCTGCCCTACCCAAGAACTGTCGCAGTTTCCTCCTGGGATTCGGCACTGGAATAGTTCTGACTGTCAGAATTTCCTCGGGTAGTGGTTTTATTTCGCCGTTTCTTACTTTGTGTCCTAGCAACGTAACACTCTTCTTTGCTACCTGAGATTTTGTTTTATTGATGCGGAGTCCAAACTCATCGATGCGTCTCAAAACAGCTTTAGGGTGTTCCATATGTTCTGCCTCCGTCGGACACCTCTACGTTCTCTAAATTCTTCAGCAACAACATCATCAACCGTCTAAATGTAAAGGACGCACTTGCAAGACTACGTGGCATTCGCTTGAATTGATATTGCTTCTTGCTCACAATTACTGCTGTTTTATCTTTGTCGCTGTTTTTTTATTGGTAGCTACCAGTAGCCTGAGCGGAGGTCCAGAGCTGTAAAACACTTTCGCATTCTGCGAACGATCCAGTGTCTCAGCTATCATGGGCATGACATATGGCTTTAGTTGCGTTATGCTATTTAACTCCCTGAAATCAACGCAGAATCTGTATTTCCCATTTGACTTTCTTACTAAAAGTACTGGAGAACTGTATGGGCTATCAGCCTCTTCAGTAGTACCTTCATCTAGCATTTCCTGAATCTGGCACCCAACTTCTTGTTCCAAGTGACATGGTATTCGCCGTGTGATGAATGTTGTCGTTACCTGACTGGTCACTGGGATGTCATGCTGAACCTTGTCACAGTATCCGTAGGGGTCTCCATCTCTCGTGAACAATCTGTCGTATTTCCTAACCACTTTCATGATGTTTGGCGCTTCTGGGTATGGTGCTTTTAGTACTTCAATCTCTGCTACCCCGTTTTCCTGCCTGGTGAACTACCCGTACTTCGTTGCCACTATTCCTGTTCTTGTGTTAATAACTGCACCCACTTCTTTCAGGAAATCAGCACCTAGGATTGGCCTTTGTGGGCGAGTGGTCACAATAAATGGGGATCTAATTTTCCGGCTTCCGATCTCAATGACACACCCTGCAATATCCAGTACATGACTCCCAACCGTGTGAACCGTTAGCACACATGGTCTTGTGTTCTGAGACTGTCTCTTATCTATTAGCGAGACTGCCACCGCTGTATCTATGAGACACACGATATCCCGACCATTTATTCGCAATCTAGCATACACCGCTCCTCAATCTATGGCTCCTACAATATCTAGTCTAGTCGGAAAAACAGAACTCATATTATATCGTTCAAAACGTTTCCTTTTTCGCCTCTCCGGAGAGTTTCTTCCCCAGTGTCCAGGTTCCCCACATGCGAAGCATTTACCCTGTTTGTTGATGTTCATTCGCAGTGCAGCCACCTCTTCCTGAAGGTTGTCGATTTGTTCTTGCCAGTTATTTACCTCCACTGCCGCTACTCCTGTACCCATTAGCTGTCTGGTCACCTTGGCGATTACACTGATGTCCATGGGTTGGGCTGCATTTCGCTAATGTCCGTGGACTGGGCTGCATTGACCAGTCGTAACTGGAGGGCAATGGCATTCGGGACACTTTCAGTGAACTGTGCAGTCAGCAACTGTTGTTGGGCATCCTCATCCAACGTGAAAAGTGCTCTTCGATGTAGTTCGGTCAACTTCACAGCCAGCACCAGCAGATCTTCGTCTGTTCCCAGTTTCGTTCTGCGGAACTGCTGCATCGCCAGCTCCCTGTCCGCTGGGCTGTCAAACTCCGCCTCCAAGAGTTCAACCATCCTCTGCCAAGTCTCCTTCCCGTCACCATGTTTCACGCCGTCATATGCTGCTTTCGCCCTACCCCTCAGCAACGTACCCAGCACCACTACCTTCTCTGGATCTCGAACCCCATCAGCTCCGCGGCCGACTCGAACTCCCTGAGGAAGACCGTGATGTCTCCATCCTCGAACTCTACAGGCCATAAAATCTTCATCACGTCCAGAGGCGGCGACACCAATTGAAGAGACAGAAGACAAACACGACGGGAAGAATGTTTCCTCTTCGGTTCCTCTGTTGATCTGTTCTTCATACATTCTTATCAGCAGCATCTACTGTAATACTCCTGCGTTATCCTTTGCGTTGCTCTTGGAAGAAACCCTACCCATTGCCGGTAATTCCCTATGATTCCTGCCACCCTCTCAACATATACTACTTGCATACATTGTTATCAGCAACGTTCACTACAATATGACTGTAGAATCTGAAGAAGTTAGTGAAAGGAATATTCCTTGTTCACTCAA